GGTGGTGAAGTCGCTGAGCGCCGCCGCGGTGCTGCTGTACCTGCTCTCCTTCGGGCTGGACACGGCCTACGGGCTGGCGGTGACGCCCGGCTACCTCCTGCCCCCCAACTTCTGGGTGTGGACGCTGCTGACGCACGGGCTGGTGGAGGAGCGCGCCTGGGGGCTGGCGGCCAGCCTGGCCACGCTGGGCACGGCCGGGCGGCTGCTGGAGCCGCTCTGGGGCGCGCTGGAGCTCCTCGTCTTCTTCGCCGTGGTCAACATCTCCGTGGGGCTCCTGGCGGCCCTCGCCTACTTCCTCACCTATGTGGCCTCCTTCCACCTCCACTATCTGTTCGCCGTCCGCATCCACGGTGGCCTGGGCTTCCTCGGGGGGGTCTTGGTGGCCCTCAAGCAGACGATGGGGGACAGCACCGTACTGAAGGTGCCTCAGGTCAGAATGAAGGCTGTCCCCATGCTCCTGCTCCTTCTCCTGGCTCTGCTGCGGCTCGCTGCTCTCGTCGAGAGCAATGTACTGGCCTCGTACGGCTTCGGGCTCCTCTCCAGCTGGGTCTATCTCCGCTTCTACCAGCGGCACAGTAGAGGCCGCGGAGACATGAGCGACCACTTCGCCTTCGCCACTTTCTTCCCCGAGATCCTGCAGCCCGTGGTGGGCCTGGTGGCCAACCTGGTGCACAGCGTGCTGGTCAAGGTGCGCTTGTGCCGCAAGACAGTCAAGCGCTACGACGTGGGTGCCCCGTCCTCCATCACCATCAGCCTGCCGGGGACAGACCCCCAGGACGCCGAGAGGAGAAGGTACCCCCTGCCCTGCCCTGCCCTGCCCATAGGGATCGTGTCTGGGGACAGAAAGGGTATGGTTTAAAATCCAGCCAAGGAAGAGGGGGGAGATTTTAGGTGCAGAGGTTGAGGAGGGGCCTTCTCCATGTGGTCTGCCATGGAGGTGATGAGGAGCATTTCAGGGAGCTGGTCAGACATTATCCTGCTCTTCCAGATGTGGCGCAGCAATAGTAGGGCGGGGAGATCCTGGGAAAGGGGCAGACAAGGTTAGGGGTCCCTGCAGAAGAAAGGGGTACAGCCTAGGGGAGTGGCAGCCTTCCACCAGTTCACCCTGGCCCAGGGCAGGGCAGGGAGTCAGCCCCACACCCCAGCCCTCCAGCACAGCCAGCACTGGCCTTCCTGACTTCTGGCAGGAGGGTTTGGACAAGGGTGCTGGCACTCCCTTTTCCCTGCCCTGCTTTATACCTTTATTCCCCATTCCCAGAGCTGCCCTCGTGCTGACAGCCTCAGGTTGTACCACGTAGCATGAAAACTCTGTGTGAATAGTCTGGGAGCCGGAGTGGATTTCTGTGGAGCAGTCCCAGGCTCTCCAGGTCTTCCCCAGCAATACTGAGCCCACCCTTTCCTGCTGGGAGGAAGCCGGGGACTGACTTGCACAGTGCCCCATGGGGCAGAGCCGCTGACCCGGGTTAACCTGCCCACGTGCCTTGTCCTACAGGCAGCTGGCCCTGAAGGCGCTGAACGAGCGGCTGAAGCGAGTGGAGGACCAATCGGCCTGGCCCAGCATGGAGGATGATGAGGAGGAGGCGGCAGCAGCAGCGAAGGCTGATAGCCCGCTGCTGCCTGACCCCAGCACGGCCGGGAAGAGCCCTGGCCAGGAGTCCAACCTCATCAGCTTCCAGGACGCCCCGGCCCAGCTGTGAGCGGCCCCTTCCCGCCCTGTCTCTGCTGGAGAGCTGCTAATCCCGCTGGGAGCGGGGACTCCTCCGGGCACAGCCGGGGGATACCTCATTGCAACGCTTCGCTGCTGCTCGAGGCCAGCACCAGGCGCCCGGACAGTGACACTGCCACCACCCCGAGGACAGGAATTCCCGGAGCCACTCCCCCAGCTGGGGCAGGCCGTGCAGACAGCGGGAGCTGTTCTTGGAGAGGGACACGAGGCTGATCCCTGCCCCAAGCCGCTGTGCTGGCCCTGGAGGGATCGAAGGCAGCTTCTCCTCTGTGCCAGGGCTTTGCCAGAGCACTCAACACTTCTTTTCTCCTTTCCGAAGGTAGTTTTGTCCCTAACTGAGGCAATGGGAAGGCTGGTGGGTTTCTCTTCCAAATGTCTTTCACGTGGGGAGCCTCCCCCCGCCCCAGCAGGAGTTTGCCAGGACGGGTGAGAAGTTTGTTGGGTAGGAGGGGACAGGACACTGGGCAGGAAGAGGCCACCCAGCCCCTCATGGTGGTGCTCCAGCACTGCCAGCTCCGGGCTTTGCATGGTGGGGATTCACTTCTCCTTCCTCTCCTGCCCCCTCCCCCTGTGGGGAGCTGCTGCCCTTGGCTGCTCCCTGGCTAATCTGTTTGCCAGATTACACTAGAAGCTGGAATTAATTTTACACTGGGACTCTAGCTGCTTCCTCTGGCAGCAGGTTTTCTTTCCTGCAGGTAGAATATGGGCTCCCCCTTTCTTTTCCCTCCCTCTGTTAGTGGAGTTTCTTTCCTGGATGGAGAGGATGCTCCCTGCGACAGCCTCCACAGCTCCTGATCCAGTGGGCAACTCCCAGCCTGGGATGTGGATCAGCAGTGTCATGATTATTTTTTTAAAGGACCACACAAGAAGGTTTTGTCAAATGGGAAGAACACAGACATTTGGGTATCAATAAAGAGTTCTTTGAAAGCACTGGCTCCTGCAGCAGAGCATGGGCAGGGTGGAGGGCCCGGCCCAGAGCAGCCCCTGGGGGCTCTTGGCAGGAGGCTGGGGAGGGGGCTTCTTCCCAGGTGCTCACAGCAGGGAGAGATGTCTGCCTGCACCCCAGAAGTCATCCCACCCAAAAATGAAAGAGGGCTTGTTGCACTCTAGCTGCCTGAAATGTTTATTGAATAAAAGCTCTGGATACAGAGGAATTTTTCAGCCTGGGAGCCGCTCCCAGCTCTCCAGCCCTGCCAGGAGCAGGATGCGTGCTGGAAGGAAGGCTGTTGTGCCAGCATGGAGGTTTCTTCCTGCCTTGCCAAGGGTTCATCACCCAGGTCTGTGCCTCCCCGTGCTCACGCTGTTCCCTGTGACTTGCTGGCTGTATGTTCCAGCCCGGCTCAGTGATTTGCTCTGTAAACTGACCCCACCCCACGAGGCCGAGCCCAGCCCACGGAGGAGGGGTTTGTGCGTGGCAGTGGGTGTCCAGACCCAGGGCCTTGGGGCAGAGCTGCATGCTCTGATCCCAGGGACTGCCCGTGCCATGGGGACACACGTGCTGCTGTACCGTTGCTCGGGTGCCACTGCCCTGCCCCAGCCCTGCCAGGGCTAAAGCCACAACCGTGCCCCGTGCTTTCCTGTCAAGCTGCCCCCGTGGCAGGAGAGGCAGCGTGGTGCCTGCTGCAGCCTCCTGGGAGAGAAGGGACTCCCTGCCCTCCTCACCAGGATGGCTCCTGTCCTTCCTGCTCCAAAACAGCCCTGCGTGGGAAGGGAAAAGGAGCAGGAATCCTGAGTGAGCCCTCCATTTCCCAGCACTGAGCACCGAGCTGCCACAGGGACCAGCAGCTTCACCTGTGCCAGGTAACGTCCCCACCGAGGCAGGGGTGCGGTGTCACACACATCTGGAGCGGCTGCTCCCCAGGGACAGGACACTACGGACAATCCAGGACTAACGAAAGACGAGTAAGTAGAAACCAAGTTCCAAGGAGGCCCTGTGCAAGCAGGGGGACTGCCAGCTCTCTCCAAGGGGAGACTCAGCTCGCTCTGGGAAGTTCAGGTCAGCACCAAGCCCTCAGTGCTGGCTCCGCTTGCGGTACAGGTATGCGTTGCTCACCTGGTTCATGATAACCAGGCTGGTGACGAGGGGACACAGCATGGCCAGGTACCACGAGGCACCGGTCACCGTGGTGGTGAACCAGAGGGAGCACATGCCCAGCATCAGGCTGGCACAGCCCAGCAGGTAGCCCACCAGCCCTGAGGTTGCGTGGTACAGCTTCAGCTTGGCCAGCGTCCAGTTCTTCATCAGCTTGGGGTAGAGCAGGAGCACGCCCCCGGCGCACTGCCCGCCGGTGTACAGCACGGCCAGCAGCCCCGTCAGCCCGTGCCAGGTGACAAAGTGGCCCTTGCCGTTCAGGTGCTTGTTGTAGCTGATGATTCCCAGCCCCAGGAGCGCGCAGAGCAGGGCGAGCAGCTGCAGGGCCCAGTGCGCCCGCACTCGGACTTTGCGGGAGAAGGAGCGCAGCAGCGAGGTCTCCGGGGAGAAGATCAGCAGCGCTTCTGTCATCAGGAACGAGAACTGGGGGGCAGAGGGCAGCGGCATTGGCACCGGCCGAACGCCCCTGCGCCGCGGCTGCCGGGCTCGGCACCCACCGCCCGGGGCTCGGCACCCACCGCCCGGGGCTCGGCACCCACCGCCCGGGGCTCGGCACCCACCGCCCGGGGCTCGGCACCCACCGCCCGGGGCTCGGCACCCACCGCCCGGGGCTCGGCTCCCACCGCCCGGGGCTCGGCTCCCACCGCCCGGGGCTCGGCACCCACCGCCCGGGGCTCGGCTCCCACCGCCCCGGGGCTCAGCACGGGCCCTGCCTGCCCCACGGCAGCGGGGCGGTGCCCGGGGCAGCGGCACTTACCGCGAGGGCCATGAGCAGCGGGTGCCAGGAGAAGAGACCTGGAAGGGAAGCGCAGGGTGAGGTGAGGTGAGGCGAGCTGAGACATCCGGCCCTCCCCGCGCCCCGGGCCCCGGCCCCAGCGGCACTCACTGGATCCGGGCCGCGCCAGCACGGCCACGGCGGCGGGGAAGCCGAGCGCCACGAGGTGCGCGGCGGCGCCGGAGGCCACACGCAGCGAGCGGTACAGGCGGGACTCGCTCTCGGCCGTCAGGGCCATGTTGGCCGGGCGGGCGGGACCGCCGCTGCCGACACCGCCGGGCCGCGGCGCGCGCTGCGATTGGCTGATCCGGGCTGTCCGTCAGCGCTAAGTCCCGCCCCGCGCCGCCGCTGAGTGGCGGGAAGTGCTGTCGCTCAAGGTGAGGGCCCGCCCCCCGCGCGCCCTGCGGCTCCGCGCGAGCGGCGCTACGGTGGCCGGCGGGGCTGCGGGCGGGCTCGGCCGCTCCGCGTCCCGCCATGGGCGGCCGCATCGAGTGCGTGTTCTTCAGCGAGTTCCACCCCACGCTGGGGCCCAAAATCACCTACCAGGTGCGGGGCGAGGGCCCGGGGCCCGCAGCGCCTGCCCGCGGCGGGGGGCCGGGACGGGGCTGCGGCGGCGCCCATGGAGGGGAAGGGAGCGCAGGGAGTGGGGCGGCGGGCGCGGCCCGGGGCGGACGGGCTCGGCTGGAACCGGAGCTCTGTGCCGCCGCAGGTCCCCGAGGACTTCATCTCCCGGGAGCTGTTTGACACCATCCAGGTGTACGTCATCACGAAGCCCGAGCTGCAGAACAAGCTGATCACCGTGTGAGTGCGGGCGGAGCCCGGCCGGGCTCCTGGCCCCGGGACCAGCGGTCACTGCAGTGTCCCCGGTCCCCGTGCGGAGGGTGGGGGGCACAGTTAGGGGTGGCTGCTGCTGCAGCTGCTGCTCCGCCAGCCTCGAATCCAGGAAATCAGAGCAGTCAGGAGAGCTGTGCTGGTTTCGAAAGGACGCTGCTTCCTTTTCTGAGGGCTGGCTCTTTCCTCCCCCCTCCCTCTTCAGACTGGGATTTGCACCCTGAGCATGTAGGGCATCATTTAGGCATCATTTTTCCTGCAATATAAAGAAGCCCCTTCCTGCAGAGCCGATCAGGAGCCAGCCTTGTGGGGGACTCGAGGCTCCCTGAGGGCACAGAGCAGGTGACAGGTGTCTCCCACAGGACGGCCATGGAGAAGAAGCTGATCGGCTGCCCCGTGTGCATCGAGCACAAGAAGTACAGCCGGAACGCTCTGCTCTTCAACCTGGGCTTTGTGTGCGACGCCAGAGCCAAGGCCTGCGCGCTGGAGCCCATCGTGAAGAAGCTGGCTGGCTACCTCACCACCCTGGAGGTGAGGGCTGGGCACAGCCTCTGATCCACCCCACAGAGCGTGGGCGCCCCAGCAGCATCCTGGAGTATGGTGGGGGCCGCTGGGCACTGCTGGGTCGGGCTGGTTTTACAGTGAGGAGGGGATTGTCTTGGTTTCCTGCAGATCACTTCAGTTTTAAAGGGGAACAGGATCTGGGCTCCTGTAGCCAGTAATCCTGTGGGGAGCAGCTGACTTGACTTTCTGCTCTCTTCAGCTGGAAAGTGGATTTATCTCCAATGAGGAGAGTAAGCAGAAGCTGGTTCCCATCATGACCATCCTGCTGGAGGAGCTGAATGCCAAAGGGAAGTGCACCCTGCCCATAGGTATGGCGAGGACGGGGCCATGCTGGGAGGCAGCTGGGCCATTCCCTGCCCAGGTCAGCTCTGCTGTGCTGCTCCCAGCAGCTCCCTGCCTGTCTGTGCTTGGAGCTGGAGGAGTCTGAGCCAGCCTTGCCCTACCTGGCTCCAAGGGAGGATGGGATGGGGTTAGGGGCTGCAAGGACCTTGTTCTGTGTGACATTGTGGTGTCCTGGCATTGATGGTTCCAAGCTCCTGAGGGAGCCCTGTTTTGCACGGAGATTGAGCCTTCCCCTTCTCCCGGGCAGATGAGTCGAACACCATCCACCTGAAGGTGATTGAGCAGCGCCCAGACCCCCCCATCGTGCAGGAGTATGATGTCCCTGTCTTCACCCAGGACAAGGATGACTTCTTCAATTCCCAGTGGGATCTCACCACGCAGCAGGTCCGTGTGCTTGACACTTTGAAGGGGATCTATTTCCAGACCATCGGGGGAGTTGGGCTGTCCTGGAGATCCCCACATTAATGAGCACGGTTTGGTGCTGCTCTTGGCTTTGTGCTTGGGCCTGTGAGCAAATCATTCACCAGCACGGGGTTAGAGTGCACCTGGGGACGGAGCCTGCCCATCCCAGCTGCTCCCAGATGCAGGGGTGCTGCTTGGGCTTCAGGGTGATGCCTCACTGCTCCCTGCCCTTTTAACTCCCGCCTCCTCCCCTCCCAGATCCTGCCCTACATCGATGGCTTTCGGCACGTCCAGAAGATTTCGGCGGAAGCTGATGTGGAGCTGAACTTGGTGCGCATCGCTGTGCAGAACCTGCTGTGAGTGCCTGGAGGGGCTGCACGGCCCGAGGAGGGGGTGGGTGCTGCCAGAGAGCGCCTCTCACCTTGTCCTGTCCGTCTGCAGGTACTACGGGGTTGTCACACTTGTCTCCATACTCCAGGTGGGTCGGGCGGCCACGGAGCGTGGGGCTGTGAGCAGGATTTGGGCACGTGGGGCTGTGAGCAGGATTTGGGCAGTGGCTGGGGAGGGTGAGCAGCGGGGTTAGAGTGGGCCAGGCCTGTCTGTCAGAGCTACAGCTGAGTCGAGCTGGTTTTCCATCACCCTCTAGTACTCCAATGTCTACTGCACCACACCGAAGGTACAGGACCTGGTGGATGACAAGTGCCTCCAGGAGGAGTGTCTGTCCTATGTCACCAAACAAGGTATAGTGATCCAGCCTGGGGATGCTGGCCCAGGCAGGGGGACAGGGCAGCTGAATGGCGACCTGTCCTTGCAGGGCACAAGCGAGCCAGCCTCAGGGATGTCTTCCAGCTGTACTGCGGGCTGAGCCCTGGCACCACCGTGCGAGACCTCATCTCCCGCTACACCCTGCAGCTCCAGAGGGTGGATGAGAGGTCAGAGCCCTGACGGCAGTGGTGACACTGGGGATGGCAGAGAGAGCGAGCAGGAAGTACTGTGTCTGTAGGGTAGGAGGTGTGATGCAGTGGCAGGACACATGGAACAGAAGGGGAATGTGGGGAGCTGGGGCATTTGGCACCTCGGCATTGTGGTCCCAGTCCCTTTCCTCCTCACCCCCAGGAGGCTTATCCAGTTTGGTTTGATGAAGGGCCTTATCCGGCGGCTCCAGAAATACCCTGTCAAGGTGGCCCGGGACGAGCGGAGCCACCCAGCCCGGCTGTACACGGGCTGCCACAGCTACGACGAGATCTGCTGCAAGACTGGTACGGATCCCCTAGGACCCACGGGATCCTCTGCTCCGTGTAGGCCCCAGGGCTGGTGGGAGACAAAGGAATTGCCTGCCCACAGCTGTGCACTGGTCCTGGGTTCTTGCCGCTTTGGGAGCCTTCAGACTGCAGGGAGATGGGACTGTGGGCCAGGCTCTTCTCCAAGCCGGGCTGCCAAGCCCATGTTGCCAGGAGCAGGGCTTGGGGATTCCACCCAGCCCTCTGACACCACACTGACACTCTGTTAACACCCCACTGTCTCACCCCCCAGGCATGAGTTACAAGGAGCTGGATGAGCGCCTGGAGAACGACCCCAACATCATCGTGTGCTGGAAGTGACGCAGCGGTGGCGCTCGCTAGAGCTGCGTCCCCTCTGTCCCCTCTGTCCCCTCTGTCCCCTCTGTCCCCTCTGTCCCCTCTGTCCCCTCTGTCCCCTCTATCCCCTCTGTCCCCTCTGTCCCCTCTGTCCCGCCGCGCCGCCGGGGGGCGCCAGAGGCCGCCCCGCGCCCCGCTGCTGCCGCCCCGCGCCGAGTCCTCCGCGCCGCCAGGGGGCGCCAGCGGCGGCGCCGTTGCCACAGCGACGCGGACGCCATGGCCGCCGCGCCGCTACCGCCCGCCGAGGCCGAGGCACTGGTGCGGGCCCTGCAGGGCTCCGAGCTGCGGGACATCGGCGGGCAGCGGTGCGGGACACGGCAGTGGGCTGTCCCCGCGTGTCTGTGGGGTGATAATGTGAAAATGGGACTTCAAATTTGGGGGGGGTCACCTTTGGGGCTGTGGGAGGACAGGAGGGGGCCCAGTTCTGGGGCCTTCCCAGGGGTCACAGTGCGGTAAGGAGGGGTTCCCAAAGGTTTTGGGTAGAGAGGAGGAGTCCTGGTTTTGAGGTGACCACAGAGGGTCAGGGTGGGGTGGGGTGAGAGAAGGGGCTGCAATTCTGTAATGTTCCTGGGAGGACTGGGGGAGATTGGAGGGCCCAGGGCGAGGAAAGGTCCCAGATCTGTGAGGGCAGGGTGGTGGAGAGGCTGCCCCTGGTTCTGTGGTGTGCCCTGTGAGGGTGCAGCTGGGGCAGCCAGGAGGGCAGGGCAGTCCCAGCGGAGCTGCAGCCCCTGGCTCCGAGGGCAGTGTGGGGTTGGGGGTTGCAGGAGCAGTTTCCCTGCACGAGGGACCGTCACCAAGCCAGTCACCAGAGGTCTGTGGCACTGATGTCCTGGCTGGCTGCCCCACAGATGGCTTCGGCAGCATGAGTATGTGGAGAAGCTCAACATGCACGGCATCCTGAGCGCCTCAGCGGGCCAGGAGCAGCTCCTCACCGAGCTGCTGGTCACCCATGCCAAGGTGAGCCTCCCTGGGTGCAGGAGTGATCCCCCTGCTGGGCCATCAGCCTCCAGCTGGGCTTGTCCCGTGGGCAGTGTGCAATTTTGGAATAAAATGCCAAATGGTCTGTTGTGTCTCTGGAAAAGATGTTTCACTGGTGGTGTGCCAGTTTGTTTTTTAATGAAATTAAAGGTCAAGCTGTGGTATTTCTACTTGCTGATGTCTGGTTTGTCTCTTGGAGGTTGTTTTGGTCTCCTTGATGCACTGGTCCCTCCATCTCTGCCCTGTGCCTGAGGGGTCCCAGTCCCAGGCTGTGAGGTTGCCTGGACCTGCCCAGCTCCTTGGGGTCACCTTCCCCCGTGCAGCCCCAGGAGCTCTGCCCTGTTGTGAGAAGCTGCTCGCTTCTGAGCTGGAAGAACAGCGTGTGCCCCAAACCACCCTCCTCCCTGAGTGACCATTAGCAACAAACTGGTTTCCACTGCAGCACTGCTCTGAAAGGCTTCACTTCCCCATCCTTCCCTGTCCAGATTCCTGTTCTCATTGGGGAGCTGATCTCTGTGGAGATCTGGAAGCACAAGATCTTCCCCGTGCTGTGCCGCCTGGAGGACTTCAAGCCAAGAAGCACCTTCCCCATCTACGTGGTGGTGAGTAGAGGGGGTGGTGGGAATGAGCCTGCAAATGAGTCAGGCACGGCTGTGCTTGAAAACAAATGTCACCTGAAGGTCTCAGAGCTGAGGGTTTGCATCTCACCAGGCTGAGGTGGGCAGTGGGACACAGTGGGAAGTTTTGGGTTTCCCAAACCCATACAGGCCCATGCCCTTGCCCCCAGGAGGGGACAGGGACTCGGTCCCAGGGAAGCTTGGCTTTGTAGAGAGCTGTCCCCTCTCTAATCCCACACAGGGGCTTGCAGGAGCTGCTGGGTGGAGCAAAAGCCATTCCTGGAGATGTGGCTCCCAGTGCTGCCCTGCTCCCAGGCAGTGATACCCCTGGGTGTTTTTCCCCCTCTGAGCACTATTTTCCTCTAGCCAGAGGCTCTCCACTGCAATATGCCTCTAGGCTAACAAAAATGTAGCTTTTTCTTACTGAGCTCCTGGAACCAGTGGTCTCTTGGGCCATTCTTGGCAAGGGAATGATCTCCAGATCTGGGCTTCCTTGCTGAGGGATGTAGCCCTTGACCTAAGGGAAATCTGCCTGAAGCTTGGAAGTTTTAACCCATTTTCAGTGCAGACAAACACCTTGCAGGGGCAGGGTGGTGAGCAGCCGATTGCCTCGGGCTGCTATCCCATAGTTCCCAGGCTCGGACAGGGCTGGCTGCCCCAGCCCAGGGCCTGGGAGAAGGGAGAAGCACAGCCCTGCAGAGCACTCAGCTCAGGCACTGGCTCTGTTCTGGTGCCACAGCCTGCAGCCTGCCCAAGGGCAGTGGTTGTCCTGCCCCTGCAGCACAGGCAGAGCCTGAAGAGCCCTGCCTGCTGGGAAGTGTGGCTCTCCATTGGCATGTTGGAGTGTCACGGGCATGTCAGCATAAATACTAACATGAACTGCATGAACTGGAGTTGTTTTGAAGGTTGCATCACTTGTATTTTTCTGTTTAGCCACAACTACATAAGCAGCTTCTCAGAAAAGCCCTTTTCCCTGTCCCAGTGCCCATGTCCCCAGTGCTGCTCCACCCTTACCTCACTTTGCCATTCTCCTTCCACAGCTGTACCATGAAGCCTCCATCATCAACCTCCTGGAGACAGTGTTCTTTCACAAGGTGAGAGCCAGGCTCAGCTTTCCTCAAGTGGAAAGCCCCTGGGGGAGGAAGGCTGTGGGAGCTGACCCTGTGTGGAACCCTTGTTGCTGTGAAGGAGATCTGTGAGTCGGCAGAGGACAGCATTCTGGATTTGATTGATTACTGCCACCGCAAGCTGACGCTGCTGGCAGCTCGGAGCACCAAGGCACAAGCAGTGACCTCAGCAGAGCTTTGTGCTGAGCCTCTGGCCAGCCCCTCGTCCATGCAGGTGAGGAGAAAGCCCTGCAGTTCCCTGGGGACATGTGTGGTGAGCAATATGGGCAGCCTGCAGAGGCACAGGGAGGCCTTTTCATGGCTTGCAGCCCTGGCACCTCCTGCCCACCTCAGAGGGTGCCCGATGCTTCTGTGTGCCTGTGGCTGCATCCACCCCCTCCAATCTGCAGCCTGGCTTCTGCCCTGCCTGGTGCTAGTGCCAGCCTGAGGCTTCCTGCAGGACTTGCTCAGAGCTCTGGGGTGGGACACGCTGCAGAGTTGATGGGCAAAATACTCAGCAGAGGGGTTTGACCATTTGCTGTTTCTCTTGGAAGCTGTGTGGATATCTCTTCCTGAAGTTTGGGAAGCCACCCTGGGTCAGGCTGCCACTATAGCCAGCCAGGGCTAACCATGAGAGAGTTCCAACAATCAGGAATTGTCCTCATGTGCTTCCCCCAGCTTCCTTTATGCTCTGAGAAACCTCCTCTGAGCTGGTCCAGGCCAGCAGCGATCCCTGAGCTTTCCCAGTCAGGTATTCCAGGCTGACACACACACACCTTCCCAGAGCAGGAGCTGTCTCTGCCTCTGGTGCCTCTCAGCACCTGGAAGTGCACGTCAGGAGGAGTATCTGGAAGAGCAGGGTTAAAGGGAGAGCCTGAACCTTCCCTTGCCTCCATCCTTTGGCTTGTTGCCCGAGCACATACTTCTCTTTCAGAAAAGGGAAGGAAGTGGAGGGATCTGGAGCACAATAGGGATGTTTTCCAGGAAATGCTTTCCCAGCTGGGGAGGGGAAGGGGGTGTCTCTGTTACTGCTTTGACACGAACATGAAAACCCAGACCTTTTCTAGCCAATAGGGTTCTCAAAAGCACTCATCTTCCAGAGAGCCTGGCTTCCTCTGATTCATTCCAGCCTCTCCTGAGCCTGTGTACAATAACCCCTGTGAAAAAGCTGTTCCTGCCATCTCCTGTGTTGTGGAGCCTGCTGTCCTTTGGAACTGTGTATGATGGTAACCCCGTTCTGTTGTCCCCTCGAAGCACAGGCAAAAGATAGTCCCTGTCTCAAGGCAGCAGAGATGAGGTCTGGATACCAGGAGGAGCTGTAGGACAAACCTCACTAGGGCAGTTTGGAGAGGGAGGAGGCAGGGAAGAGCCCACAAAACTCTCTTAGTAACGTGTGGGGCACCAGTACAGGGAGCACAGAGCTGCTTACCACAGAAATCTGGACGGCAACTGTTGCAGTGGCTCTTCGGAGAAATACAAGAAGCTGAGGTCAGAGCTCTGCACACCAAGTGTGAGCTGCATCTGGGGCTGGAGAGGGGCTGTGCCTGAGCCAGGGATGAGGACTCTCAGAATGGCCCTCCCCTGGTCTCAAAGAGCCGAGTCAGAGGAGGGTCAGGCTGGTGCAGGATGAGGGGGTGTCCATGCTGTCTGGGAAGGGAAGGAGCCTGGGTTAGAGCATGGCACGACTGTGGGCTGGGATAACCACAGGCAGATATTCTAGCCGGCTGTTCCAAGCTGGAGGGAAGAGGCAGATCCAGGAGGGGTGGACACAGGACTGCAGCTGCACCAGGGCCAAGTTTCTCCCTCCTCTTCCTCCTCCTCTGGTTCCTCTGCTGATCATGCAGCTCCCCCCTCCTTCAACCCCCACAGGTCTCTGCAAGGCCATGGAAGGGAGAGAGGCAAAATTTGGGACCAACCTCTTTTAGGGGGTGTTCTTGTGCAGGAGCACTGCAGCCAGTAGCCACCCACGAGCTGTTAGGGACAGGGACATCAGGAAAGAGCAACTGTGGACTGCAAGCACTTCTGTGGCTGTGCTGGCAAACAGGCAGTGCTGGCACAGCTGAGACAAGAAACTGTTTTTCAGTGCCCTGTTTTCCTACCCAGACTGTGGTTACCAATGCAGTCAGCAGCCTGCCTCTCTGTACTCTTGGGAAATGGGGCCTGAAATCCCAAGGCTGATCCTGTCCCTCCACAGGAGCTGCAGAAGCAGGCAGAGGTGATGGAGTTTGAGATTTCCCTGAAGGCCCTGTCCGTGCTGCGGTTCATCACTGACCAGGTGGACAGGTAGGTGCCCAGGAGCAGCAGAGGATGTGCCCAGCTCTCCAGATGGGATTCCTGTGGGGTCACAGGGGGTGCCTGGACCCCTTTCAGCAGCTGGCTGCGTCCACAGTGACAGTGGCACTGTGCTCGGGGAAGCAAACACAGAAGCAGTTCACCCTGCTCCACGGTACTCCTGGGAACTCAGATCATTGTTTCTTTCCTGCCTCTCCCAGTTGCCTCAGGGAGCATTTGTAGGTACAAATTCTGGCATTAATCTGTAAGTGCTGTTTCTCCCTTTCTGTCATATCTCCAGTCTGCCCCTGAGTGCCCTGACACGAATGCTGAACACCCACAACCTGCCCTGCCTCTTTGTGGAGCTGGTGGAGCAATGCCCCTGGAGCTGCTGGGAAGCAGGTATGGATCATGCCCCGTGGTCTCTGGGACACCGTGGTGCCGTGCTGGGATGTACATCCACTGAGGGATCTGCTGTAGGAGCCCTTGCAGAGCTGTTCCCCCTCTGGCCTCCCCTCCAGCTCCTCAGTGCTCCCTGCCTGGAGCTGTTCAGCTCGAGAGCAGCTGCAGCACAGCTGGGCTGGGGACCCGGCAGTGCTCCCAAAAGCTGATCCTCACTCAGGGCTGGGTCTCTTCTGAGTGATCACAGCCAGCACTGGAGTGTAGCACCTCGGCCAGCCCCACGTGCTCCTCTGAGGAGTCTTCTGGACACAGAAAGACCAGAGTGCCTGTCCCAGCTTCTCTGCACCATTTGGGGCAGGGCTCACTGGAGCCAGACACGCTGTCTCCCAGGCAGCAAACGTTGCCCTGATTCTGCTGCTGGTCCCTGAGCTTCACTCTTCCAAAGGCCCCTGATCAGGCTGTGCCCATTGGCAATCATCCCCCACCTCTGCAGCCAGGCACGCCGCCCACAGCCCCCCACAGCCCCCCAGCCTCCCCCTGCCTTCCCTGCGGTGGGGCTCAGCCTGGGCCGTGGGAAGCGCTGCCCCAGCCCTGCTCGGGGGTCACAGCGGGGGCAGGGCAGGAAGAGCAGCCCAGCTGGATGCGGGAGCTTTCCTCCTTCCTCCAGCCGAAGCACATCCCTTCTCCCTGCCTGCGTGCTCAGGGTGTGAGAGGGAGCTTTGATCCAGGGTCCTGAGGGAGGGACTGGAAAGAGAGGAGCACAAAGGCATTTCCAGGCTGTGCAGATGCAGGGGCACATCCTGCTCCATCCCCTAGAGCCACACAGGAGCTGCTGGAGCTCGTTTTGTCATATCTGTTATAGTCATGGTGCTTCTGGCTCTGCCTGGCAGAGGAAACTCGAGAAGAGTGGCCATGCTGGTACTCCAAAATGGGTCTCTCCACTCACACTGTTGTTGCAGCATGCACTGCTCTGCTGCCCACCAGTGCTCTACACTCTTGGCCAAGTACAGAGGGAGATGTCTCAGGGATCTTTTGTTCCTGCCAAAGCAATATTGGTTCATATAATACATATATACAATATATACAGTAAAATATGTGTAATTGGTTTATATAAATATGTGTATTTTCTGCTTTTCATGTTCTCTAATATTTTGCCTCAGTACCAAGTAGGCTGCTCTGTGGAGCAAAGGGTGGTGAAACTGAGGCAGGCAGAAGCAGAGGGTGAGGTGAGGCAGTGAGCACAGGCCAGCATCCCCCTTCTGGCCTGTCTTCCTCCAGGCAGCACTGTGTCTCCCTGGTTCTTCTGTCCCTCAGGCAAGCTCAAGAAGTTTGAGAATGGCACGTGGCACGTGGTGCCCCCTGAGGACCAGGTGAAGATAACGAAACTCGATGGGCAGGTGTGGCTTGCCCTCCTCAACCTCCTGCTCAGTCCCGAGTGCCAGCGTAAATACCGCTTCGATGGCTTCAACAAGAGCCAGCTCCTCAAGGTAGGACCCTGCAGCACGAAGGCCCTGGGTCCCTGCTAGCACTGGGTACCTCCAGATATCTGTCCTCACCCTCACTGTGGGCTCCAAGGAGCCAGTGGTGGGAGAACAGCAGGTCTGTCACTGTAGCAGCAGCAGCAAATCTTGTGTTTGTGAGTGCATCTCATGAGGCCCCCACTGGTCTCTCTGCCACTGCCCCTCAAATCCCTGCTGCATCCCCAGCTCTGACTCCCTTGTCCTGACCCCTCTCCATTCACTTTTCTCCCCCCCTCCATGGCCACAGCTCCGTGCATTCCTGACAGATGTCCTCATTGACCAGCTGCCCAACCTGGTGGAGATGCAGAGATTTCTGAGTTACCTCGCAGTGACAGACCCTGCTCCCCCCAAAAAGGATCTCATCCTGGAGCAGGTATCCTGTGGCTTTTCCTTCACCTCTACAGCTGCTCTGGTTTAAGTCTGATGGCTCCCTACCCTTCTTTTCTTCCACCAAGCTCAGCTCTGGAGTGATAATGCCCTGGAAAAACAGCCAAGTACCCATTTCAGTTACACCCTTATTGCCAGCAAAGCTGCCTGTGGCTGTCGTGAGAGCCTTGTCCTGCCCTGCAGTGGCCAAGCATAAAAGCATAAATGCTGGGTTATAAACAGCTCTCCAGGTCACACTGAGCCCCTGGGATGGCAGCTGCATGGGGCAGACATAGGTACTGGCTTGTTTTGTCGATTAACTCTTCATTTGACATTTATCAGTGTTTTCCTGTTGAATTCTGGACTCCCCAGGGAAGTCCACTTTTACAGCCCTGGTCTGAGGCTGCTTGGCACACTGTCTACAGAGGGACATCATGATCTGGTGATAGAGTCTGGAGTTAAACTGGTCCCAGCTGGTGTCTGGGCCTTTGGGAGTTAGGCCATGAAAGTCTTTAAACAGCCAAGATGTTCTTGGGGGTTTTAATCCATGCAGTGGTAATATCTGGAGAAAAGTGTTTTTATGTGTTTCTACTGCCTTCTTGTGAGCTGAGAGGCGAAACTGAGTGTGGGGGCAGATCTGCAAAGAGGCTGCTGAGAAGAACTGGGAGCACAGAGGCTCTTCCCCACTGCCAGAGGCTCCCACACCGTTTCCTGGAGCAGATGGGTCTGTTGGGCAGTGGCTGTCTGGGCTGTCCCCAGTGGCAGCACGCTGTCCCCAGTGGGAGCACGCTGTCCCCATCGCCGCTGGCTGCATGGCCCGGGAGGAAGGTGATGTGCCCTGTCAGAGGTGCCTGTGGCTGAGTTGGAGACACAGCCCAGGTTGGGAGCTGGAGCTGGGGAAGCTCCATAATGGCAAGCTGAGCTGTTGGGGCTGGGGCTGGCATCAGAGCGAGGTGGACATGGATTCATGCCCCATGCTTGACTGCCAGCGTGTTGGTGGCACAGTGACAAGCAGCTGCCATGCTGGGGACCTCCTGCAGCCCTCAGCCAGGCTGCTGCCCTTCTCCATAGCTCTGCTTTTGTGCCGGTGCTGCTCCTGCCCCTGCCAAGGGCAAGGGCTGAGCCTGGAGGCAGGCACAGGGAGGCAGCGGGAAGCACAGACATGGGCTCCCTGCTCTGCCCAGAGAGTGCTGAACTCACTCCTTGTTGCTGAGCCAAGCTAAGGAACGGACTTTTTCCATTTGGCTGCTCCCAGAGCAGCCTCCTCCCCTTCCTTGGCTATTTTTACTCTGCTGGAGAAGGCAGCGCTGTTTGAAGCTGCATGGTCCCTCCAGAGCCTGAACTCAGCGCGCTGCTCTTGGCTGGGATGTTTCCTTCGGGCCGGCCAGCCCTCCCCGGGTGTTCATCTTCAGGGAAGTGACGAGTGGAAAAATCTGCTCAGACAAACGGCTCTGGAGCATGGGGTTCACGCTGCTGCCACATGCAGGGTGCTGAGGTCCCAGGGCTTTCTTCTCAGCAGCCCAGGCCTCAAGGCTGAACACTTACGCCCAGCTGGACCCCAAAGGGGTCCTTGTTTCACCTCAATGCCCACCGGAGGGTGGATTCATCCCCTCCACATACCCAAAAGCACACCCTGACCACCCCTGCCTCTGCCTGCCCTCCTGGAGGGCCATGATTCTTGTGCCCAGGGCTGGCTGCCTTCTCCACAGATTACAGCACCCTTTTCAGGCTGTTAGCACCTCTTCTTCTTGCACTGCATCTCCCACCAGGTTCCTGTCATCTGGGACCATATCCTCAAGAAAAACTCAGGGAAGTGGGAGGCCATTGCCAAGCACCAGGTGAAGCACGCCTTCAGCCCCACTGAGGAGGAGCTGAAGCTGCAGGCACGCAGGTGAGGCTGGAGCAGGTTTGCAGAGTGCCCAGTGGGGCCAGTATCCCCATGAGCAGAGCTGGAGCTCGGCACTGGGGGGACAGAGGGGTCCTGTGGCACTGGCTGGAGATGTCCCCTCAGTGGCAGGGTGCAACAGGGACAGCTCACTGTCGGCCATTCCCTGTAAGCAGCCTCACACCTCTCTACCTGCACAGGTGGGCACAGACCTACAGCCTGGACATGATGGAGGCTCTGGCCCCTGACAAGCCCCGCTGCAGGGTGTGTGGTGTAGAAGCAACCAAGCGCTGCTCTCGCTGCCGGAACGAGTGGTACTGCACACGGTAAGGGAGCCCTGCCACCCCCTTGGGACCCCTGCAGCCCCCCTGGGCCTCCCTGCAGCTCCTCAGTGCTCCCCAGAGCACCACAGGGTCTCACTGGAGAATGCTGTGGGAGGGCCAAGCAAAGCCAGGGGTCCCACCACTGCTCAGCACCACCAGCTCTCTGCTGGCCACGTACCTCTGCGAATTTTGTGGGGAGGCTGATGTGCTGGGCTGCTGGTGGAGGAGGTGCTGGTGAAGGTTGTGTTGCCGAAGTGCTGAGCTGCCTCTGCCCACAGCAACAGCAGCGACAGGCTGGGTTTTTCGTGGTGACACTGTCTTCTTCCTCCCACCTTGGTGGGGCACAAGTAGGAAAGCACCCATGACCCCGTGGGTGCAGGTGACAAGCTGGGATGTGGCAGCTGGGACGGTGGCAGTAAATTAAATCTCTGGTCCTGGACCATCTGGCAAGGTCTGTCGTTAAACCTTCTTAACCCCCACCACTGGGGCTGCATCCACCCCCTCTTAGTCTAATGCTGGGCTGTATCAGCTCCCTCCCAGCTCCCAGAGGGTGCGGTCCTGGAGTTTGTCCTTCTTGCTGCTTTGCCCCCAGGGACGGATGTGACTCCAGTGCCCCTGACAGCAGCTTCCCCCTCTGCAGGGCATGCCAGGTGCAGCACTGGCAGAAGCACAAGCCTGCCTGCAACCTGATGGCTGCGGTGCCAGGGAGTGTGGATGGTCTGTAAGAAAAGTGGTGTCTGGCAACTGGCCCATGGCTCACAGAGGCAGAGGTTCCCCTGGTGTGCAGCCCAGAGCAGGAAAGAAGCTGGCAAGGGCCCCTTCTGCCTGCTCCCAGCTGCAGGCAGCACTAGCCAGGGCTATCCTCTCCTCTCCCACCACCTCACCATTCTGCCTTCTCCAATAAACCTCCTGTGCATCCCACAGTTGCTTGGCTTCTGCGTTTTCTCTCCTAGCTGAAGGTAACAAACTGCTTCGTCCCCTCCTTTCCACAAAGTGAGAGGCGTGTGTCCATTTTCTCTGCAACAACAGAAATCGCAGAGAACTCGAAAAAACCTGTGAGGTTGTGGTTACCTTACTGCAGCTGGGGAGGGAAGGGAGTGAGAAGGCCTTTGTGCCGTCTCACCATTGTTAGAGCAGCGTGGGGAGCAGAGGATGTGGTTTGCACGAGCATCTTGCTGTGAGAAAGAGTTTCTTGGGTATTTGTCATCTCCCACCTTGCAGGGACGATTCACCCCATTTTTTCCTCGCTCTTATGTGATGTTAGCACCAAGGGCTTGGTCCCCTGCCCACCAGCATTACCAGTAAACAGGTTCTACTGGTGGGGATGCACCCCAAGGCATCCCCACCTCTCACTGGTCAGCAGCTGCTGCCAAAGGGCTGGAGCCTTGGTCTGAGCACAGCTGGGAGAGGTTGGCCATGTCCTTTCTCTGATGGGGCGCTGGAGAATCCCTGACTCATAAAAATAAGCTTTGCACCAAGACTGCTGCTGCAGGAGCCACGGCAGCAGGCAGGAAACCATCTCGTCCAGCTGCAGCCGAGGCTGAGCAGCCTGCGCTCGGAGCTCGACAAACTCCTCACCCCAAACCCGAGCTGCGCGTCCGGGGCTGCAGCCAGCGGGAGCAGGAGCGCTCTCTGTAGTTCTCCGTCGCTTCTCACCCGCCGCCAGGGGTGCCTCCAGCCCCTTTCCCACTGGGAAACTGAGGCAGGGAGCACAGTTTGTCCTCCTCCTGCGAGAAGAAGCAGAGAGAGCGGAGCGGCGGCAGCGGGCCCCTCTTCCTCCGCGGCGGCTCCGGGAACCTCATCCCCGCCTCCAGCCCGCGCCGCCGGGCTCGCCGGGACTGGAGTTGGCGATCGGGAGCCAGGGGCATTGAGCCGTGCGCCCCATCTTTCCTGCCTCAGTTTCCCCGCGGTGCCCGATCGAGGCGGCCCCTCCCGGTCCCCGCCCCGGCCCCGGCCCCGGCCCGGTGCCGGCCCCCGCCCCGCCGCCGAGCAGCGCCCGCGGCCGCCGGGCCATGGAGCTCATCGAGCTGCGGGAGCTGCAGCCGGAGCCGCGGCCGGGCCGGGGCCGCCTGGAACGGGCCAACGCGCTGCGCATCAGCCCGGCCCGCCGGCCCGGCCCCGGGGCGCACCCCGACCCGCGGCTGACGGCGGCACCGGGCGCCGGGCACCGCTTCGAGCCGCGGCGCCGCGGGCTGCACACCTGGTGCGATCTCTGCGGGGACTTCGTCTGGGGCGGCGGCAGGAAGAGCCTCCAGTGCCGCCGTGAGTACCGCGCCGGGCCCCCGCACCCCCGCCAGGCTCCGCGCGTCCCGCCGCTCGGCTTCCGCAGCACCGGGCACCCCCAGCGAGCACCGGATACCCCGCCACCGGGCATCCCCACCACCGGGCATCCCCACCGCTGGGCGTTCCCACCGGGCATCCCACCAACCGGGCACCCCTACAGGACACCGAGCATCCTGGTAGTAGGCAGCCCCGCTGAACACCGGCTGTCCCGCTGGTGGGCATGAGTTTCCCAGCACCGGGCATGCTGCCACGGACACTCCCACCACCAGCGGGTGGGGCATCGGGCACCCCCACGGGCCCCCCACCCTCTGGTAATGGGCCCCCTCACTGAGCACCGGCTGTCCCACCGCTGGGCACAGGCATCCCAGCACCAGGCACCAAACATCCCAGCACAGGGCACCTCAATGATAATTACCCCCACCAGGCATCCTGGTGCCAGGCATTTCCATTAAGTTGGGCATCACCATTCTGGGCAGCTGCAGCAGGCACTGGGCCTCTGGGCATCAGGAATTGCCACCAAACACTGGACACCCCTGGATCGGGCACCCACACCAGGCACTGGCAGCCCCATATAGAATACCCTCACACGGCAGCATGCATCCCTGTACTGGGTACCTGCACCAGGTTCCAGGTATTCCAGCACTGGGTACCCACATGGCCACTGGGAATCCCAGCACTAGACGCCCACACTGGGCATCCCAGTACCAGACACTGAGCACACCATGCTGGCCAGCACAGCAGGGAGCACAGCAGCCCTGGCCAAGACATGGCACAGTGCTATGTCCCTGAGCCCCTGGGCACAGCATGAGCAGACAGCTGACACTGTCACCGTGTGCCAGCCCTTGTCCCAACCAGTGCCCAGTGCCCTGACCCCCAGGCTGTGCACGGTGCTGACCCTGCTTCTGTCTCTGTCGCCAGACTGCAGCTTCACCTGCCACTACCGGTGCCGGGCGCTGGTGCAGCTGGACTGCGGCGGCCCCCCAGGTGCTGGTGACGAGGACGATGGCAATGAGCAGATGCTGGAGAAGGACACCAACGTGGTAGGGCCTGTGCCTGTCTGTGAGGGAGAGCTTGCGCAGGGAGTGGCAAACTGGGGGCTACGCTGGGCTGGGGCGGGCTGAGCTGGGCTGTGCCATGTGAGGCCATGGCATGGCATGCCAGGCTGTGCCAAACTTTGCTGAGCTGGGCTCGGCTGGGCTTAGCTGAGCTGAGTGAGGCTGGCATGCCAGGCTGTGCCATGCCATGCCAGGCTGCACCATGCCAGGGTATGCTGTGCCACGTTGGGCTGTGCCAAGCCTTGATGGACTGCACTGCGCTGGGCTGGTCTGGGCTGAGTAAGGTCGTGCCATGCCACGTTGTGCTATGTCGGGCTATGCCGTGCCAAGCCAGGCTGTGCTGTGTCCTGCCCGTGCCGCGCTGCCCGCACCACACCGTGCCCGAGCCGAGCCGAGCCGAGCGCAGCCGGGACACAGCCGGGACACAGCCGTGCCCGGGTGAAGTCACCGCCGGAAGCGGGACCGCCGCGCCGCCCCCGGCCCGCGTCACCCCGCGGCCGGGGCGGGGCAGGGGGGACCGCGCTGAGCCGGGAGCGGGCAGGGCGCGGTAGACGCCGCGCTGAACCGAGCCGGGACAGGAGCGCGATAGGGACCGGTCTGAGCCGAGCCGAGGACGGGACCGCGATAGACGCCGGGCCGAGCCGAGCGGGACGGTGATAGGGACCGGGCGAAGCTGAGCCAGGACTGAGAGTGGGACCGGGCGGAGCCGAGACGCCATAGGGACCGAGCGGAGCCGAGCCGGGCCGAGGGCCGGGCTGAGCGGAGCCGGGCCAAGGACCGGGAGCGGGCTGAGCCGAGCCGGGAGCGGAGCGAGCCGGGCCCCGGCCCGGGGGCCGGTCGGGCTGGCGCGAGGCCGGGCGTGCCCGTGTGCTCGCCGCCCCGGCGGGGCTGCGGGGCGGCCGGGCCGGGCCGTGCCCTCCGCCACCGCCGCCGTGCCCGCGGCCGGGCCGGGGGCCGGCGGGCCCGGGGGCTGCGGGGCGGCGGCGTTGGCTCTGCGGCGGGGCGGCGCGGGGGGCACGGGGGGCAGCACGGCCAGCAGCGGCTACTGCAGCCAGGAGGACTCCGACTCCGAGCCCGAGCTCTTCTACACCGCCCGCACCTCCCTCGGCCGCCGCCCGCGCCGCCGCCAGGTCGGTCCCGGGCCGTGACGTAATGGGGGACACGGGTGACGTCATCGGGAGCACATTCCCGCGGCTGGGTGCTGGGGAGCAAGCGAGGGTGGGCTTGGTGCGTGGGGAAAACTAGAGGTGTCGGTGGTCTTTTCTTAGAGGTGAGCTTGGCCCTGCTGTGGGGCAGGAGTGGGGTCGAGGATGGCCGTGCCGGGGGACACGGTGGCCCTGTCCGGTTGGATGTGGGGTGAGCGAGGCACCGTGGGGCGAGTGGAGTTTCGCTGCCTGGCACGGGCACGCCAAGGTCCCCTCAGGGCTGGAGCTGCTCCCAGTTTTGGGGGTGCCGGGACAAACTCCCCGGGCAGCTTCACAGCTGTCCCCATCCTGCAGGGCCCCCGGCAGGGTCCTGCAGTGCCTGCATGCTGTGGGGCGGCTGTCGGGACTGGGGACCCCTCAGTGCCGTGGGGACATGTGCAGCACTGTGTGGCAGCTCCGCGGCCCCGCGTAAATACTCATTAGCGGGTGCCGTGGCAGCGACGCCGAGCCAGGACGCTCGGTCCCCCGTGTGCGGGGCCAGCACTTTGAAGTGGGGTGCCGGCGGCAAGGGCGGGCTGCACCCCCAGCCCGGCCCTCCTGCCTCCAGTGTCAGGGCGGCCCCGCGGGCGCGGAGCCTGCCCAGACGCGCTGGTGCCGGGCTGGCGGCTGCCGGCGCTCTGCCTTGGGGACGCCTCTCTGATCTGGGGTGTCCTCGCAGCGCGATCGCACAGCCCCGCAGCCCCAGGGACGGGCGCCGCGGGGGCGGCCGGTGCCGGTGTCCCCGGAGCAGGGCTGGGGCCGCGGTGAGCTCAGCTCAGCGCCGGCCGGGCTGATGCAACCCCGTGCAACCGCCCGCGCATCTGCCGGGGCTTCGGGGTGGGCTGGGGGCCGGCGCGACACCGAGGCAGGCGGGCCTGTACCCTCCGGTCTCCGTGCCGCTCAGCCCGCCTGCTGTCCCGCAGGATGAGCCCAGCGAGTGGGAAAAGGCAGAGCTGGACCAGGCGCAGGTGGAGCAGCGGATCAAGGAGTACAACAGCCAAATCAACAGCAACCTCTTCATGAGCCTGGTACGGGGTCGGCATAGGGCCGGGGTGGGTCACGGTGCCCTGCCCTGACCCCACTCACCTCTCACCGGTGTCTCGTAGAACAAGGATGGCTCCTACACCGGCTTCATCAAGGTGCAGCTGAAGCTGGTTCGTCCTGTCTCGGTGCCGGCCACCAAGCGGGGCCCGTCCCTGCAGGCGGGGCGGCCACACCCCCAGGGGGTGAAGCGCCGCACGTCCTTCTACCTGCCCAAGGGGACCGTCAAACACCTGCACATCTTCTCACACACCCGCGCCAGCGAGGTCATCGATGCCCTCCTCCGCAAGTTCACCGTCATCGACAACCCCCGCAAGTTCGCCCTCTTCGAGAGGTCTGAGAAGGATGAGCAAGGTAGAGCCCAGCATCACTCTGCACAGTGGTGGCCGTGTCCCCATATTGGCAATTTCCCCTGGGTGGTGCCAGTTCATGGTGGTGATGTCCCCAGGATCCCTCATGGTGGTGGCAACATGTCCGTGGCAGTGATGTCCCCATAGTGGTGGTGTCCCCCATGGTGGCAATGTTATGGCAGTGGTGCCCCAACAGTGACAGCTTTCCTTGGGCAGCAGCATCCCCTTGGTGACACCATCCCTGTAGCAGTGGTGACAGTGTCCCCTGTCCCCATCCCAGCAGTGGTGTGCCCTGTGGTGGTGATGTCCCCGTAGCAGCAGTGATGTCCCTGTAGTGGCAGTGTCCCCGCGGTGACACGTGGCCCCGTTGCAGTGTATCTGCGGAAGCTGGGTGACGACGAGCAGCCCCTGCGGCTGCGGCTGCTGGCCGGTCCTAGCGAGAAGGTGCTGAGCTTCATCCTCAAGGAGAACGAGACCGGAGAGGTGAACGTGAGTGCGGGGACGGGGAGGGGGCTGGCACCCGCATTGCCCGGGGCGGTGGCCATGGGTGGCCATGCAGGTCCCCGTTGCGATGGCAGCCCTTGTGCCTGCAGTGGGACGCCTTCACGCTGCCGGAGCTGCACAACTTCTTGCTGATCCTGCAGCGGGAGGAGGAGGAGCACGTGCGGCGGCTGCGGCACCGCTACGCGCGCTGCCGCCAGAAGATGCAGGAAGCGCTGGCCACGCTCACGCCGGGGTGACCACGAGGCTCGGGCCGAGGCCAGCCAGTGCACCAAGATCCTCGCCCACCGGCGGTGGGGGCGGCAGGGAGGGGGGGTGGAACGGGGCACCACGGACCCACCGGGCTGTCACAGCCCCCATGGGGCTGGCCCAGAGAGTGAGGGTTCCTGGTGGGAGCGAGAGCGAGTGTCACCCGGTAGTGGGTGTCCCCAGGGAGCGTGTGTCCTGGGGGGAACGAGTGTACCCTGGGGGATTGCGTGTCCCCAAGAGAGCGTATGTCACCTGGGGGATTGGGTGTCCCCAGGGGGGTGGGTGTCCCGAAGGGAGCGTGTGTCTTGCGGGAAGCAAGTGTTACCTGGGGGATTAGGTATCCCCAGGGGAGTGGCTGATATGGGGGGAGCGAGTGTCCCCAGAGAAGTGAGTGTCCCTGGGAAGAAGCAGGGCATCGAGCACCAATAAAGGCATCTTGGTGACGAGGCCTGGCCTGCGGTGTTGTCCTTGGCGGGGCGGGCTGGGTGGGATAAGGCGGGATGTGTAATGCCCTGGTGTCGGAGGGTCGTGGGTGCCCACACGTGGTGCGGGGCGGCGGCAGCGGGACTCGGACCCGCGGGACTCGAACCCGCGGCTCCCGCGCTGCCGGCGGCGGGCGGGGAGGAGGGCGCGCCCGCACCGCTGTCACGTGGTGCGGGCGCCGGAAGTGGCGCGGGCGGCGGCGCAGGCGGCGCTCGGTCGGTGTCGGCGGGCGGCTCCGGGCCGCCCCCGTCCCTTCACCCCCGGCCCCGCTCCTGCCGCCGCCGCCCCCGCCATGGGCGCCAGCGGCTCCAAGTCGCGGGGGCTGTGGCCCTTCGCCACGCCGGCGGCGGGCGGCGGCGGCCCCGAGGGCCCCGGCGGGCAGCAGGCCCTGGCCCGGGCGCGGGCCGCGCGCGCCGCCACCCCCTTCGTGTTCACTCGGCGCGGGTGAGGCGCGGGCGCGGGGGCGGCTCGGCTGCCACGGGCGGGGGGCTCTGCTGCCGGCCGGCCCCAGCCAGGCACGGCACGGCACGGGGGCGGGAGGAGCCGCCGGCAGCGGGTGGTGGCTGCAGCTCCCCGGGGAGCGGGACCGGCCCCGGCCCCGGCTCCCGGCCCGGCCGGCAGGCTCTCATCCGGCTCCTTCCCTCTCCTCTCGGCAGCTCCATGTATTACGATGAGGACGGGGACCTTGCTCACGAGTTCTACGAGGAGACAATCGTCACCAAGAACGGGAGGAAGCGCGCCAAGCTGAAGAGGATCCACAAGAACCTGATACCTCAGGTAGTGTGCGGGGAAGGATGGGGGAAAGTGAGTGCCAAGCGCCACGGGGACACTTGAAGTCCGGCCTTTACGGGAACCATCACCATCACCCTCGGGGCATGTTCTTCCTGCGAAGGTAGAGGCTCTCTCCTCCTCCGCAGTGTCTGCCTCAGAGCCACGATTCCTGTGTGTCCTTGCTCACACCCGTGTCACCTGAGGCTGTGACAGGAAAGGGAGAGCTGGGGGCACCCTCCAGCTGCCTTTTTTGAAGAGGAGCAGTGCCTGAGCCTGTCAGAACTGCCAGGCAGGGGAAGATAGCTCAGCCGGGTGTATGTTGTGAGGCACAGGGTGCCAGGCAGCCCTGCATGGCCATGGAGTCTCCTTACAAGCACCTTCCGCGAGGTGTAGGGTGTTGTGCAGCCTCAGCCAGTGTCATGTCACTGTGGAAGGCCAGGCTCTGTGCTAGCGAGCAGCAGCCAGAGCCCATCAGCTGCTGACATGAGCTTGCACGTCCCCTCCAGCTGCTCAGCAGTGTTGACAGCTCTGTGCTTTGCCCTTCAGCAGAAAAGTCTCTTTAAATAAGCAAGTGGTGTGAAGCTGGGGTTAGGATGTCGAGTGAGGATCATGGTGCAGGGGCAGGAGAGCCCGCATGTAGGAATCCTTTGGGGGCATAAATGGAAAGAGCAGATCAAAACAGGGCTGGAGAGAGCCTCTATCGAAGTCTTCCCTAATTAAGCAGAAAGGCATGGCTGTAATGAGCAGCTGGGGAGAGCTGTCAGTGTACTCTGAGGAGTGGGCAGCCTCTCAGCTGGATGGAACTCCTCTGAGTGCTGAGCAGGCAGTTGTGGATGGAAGGATTTGGTGCTGCTTCCTGAGCTGGCATTCTAGCAGAAGCAGGCTTGGCTTATGGAACTGAGTCCTTGTTCATGTGGGTTGAAACTCACACAGTTGGAAAGCTCAGCTGAGCTGGAGCGGGCAGGTACCAGCACTGAGCAGTCCTTTGCCAGCTCAGGTTTTACTCTGGTTCTGCGGGTGCAGGCCTAGCCCTGAGCCCCTGCTCTCCCTCTGCCCCAGCCCCCCAACCTGGTGCTGTAACAGGAGAAGGCTGGGATGGGGCATGGGAACGGTTCCCATGGCTGGTGTGGAGGGAGCGTGCATTCAGCAGCCTCCCCCCTGCACAGAAAGCCGCTTTTCTGTGCGCCAGCTGCCCCTGCTGCGTGCTCTCAGAGAGCTCTTTTCATTCCTCTAAATCCCGTGAATGAAAGGTGCCGCATGAAAAGCCCAGGCAGCCAATATCTGCCAGTCACGCACCAGCTGCTGCACGGGCAGTGCCTGGCAGAGCAGCTCCCTCCTTTCTCGCCCTGCCATGTGTGGCAGCCAGCCGTGCTGCCCTCGGCTCTCCAGGGACGAGTGCGAAGGGCAAAGGGCTGGTGCTTTGTGTGCTGCTGCTCAGGTGTACCTGGTGCCACGGGCGATTTATGGAGCCTTGTCCCTCCGGCTCCTCCAGGGCACAGTGTTCTCTGATACTGGGTGACTGGCAGGGCTCAAGGATGTTGATTGGCCGTCCCTTCTGCTCACCACTCTGACTCTTCTTTCAGGGCATAGTGAAACTAGAGCATCCTCGCATTCACGTGGATTTCCCAGTGATTATCTGCGAGGTGTGAGTCCCAGACATCGCTGCTGCCCGTGGGTGGGAGGCCCTGCCCCACCACTCCAGCCTCACTGGGCCAGGCTGCATCGTGTTCCCACCGAGGAGGACTCCAGCCGTGTGGCAGGATGGTGGCTCTCCCTCGGCTGGAGGTGAGGCAGGACGGAGCAGGCCTTCGCAGGAGATGCGTGACTCTGTGCAACGACTGCTTAAAAACATCCTCGCTTGAGTCAGAAGACTAAAATACCTTTTGTAGCCTTTAGCCGACGTTTGATGGGTAACTGGAACTGCAAACAAGCTGCTGTGATTGAGCTGTGAAAGGGAGAGCAAGCCTGCACTTCTCATCAGAGAGAATCCCCTGCTTCTCAGGTATGCGGCCCAGGGAGAGCCAGGGCACGGTGACGCCCTGCCCTGCACCCCGAGGTCCCTGGGGCCCGCAGGTTAGATGGCCAGTGCTGCAGCACGTCCCTTTGACACCAGTGTGATGTGACACTCCCCCATGTGGGTTTGTTGATGGAGGATAAGCAGAGCAGACTGAGGGGTCTCAAAGCACATTGGGCTGGCTGCTGCTCTCCTCTTGGGAAGGGGATGGAGATCAGATGCCACTGTCTTAGACCTCGGTCTCTTCCCCCACTGTGTTTCCCCACTTAGGCCAGTGCTGGGGAGGTTGGCTTTACTGCTGCCTGCTGGAGATCTCTGCAGTCCCTGGCCCCTGCTGGTGGCAGCAAGGTCCCAGCTCTGCAGTGGACTTGCCTCCCCCATCGTCACACTGGCTCCTGCTGAGCGCCGTCCCTCGCCTGCTGCGGGGCTGGGCTGCCGGGCAGCTCCCTCAGCCCTGCTGCTGTTTGAACATACCTCCCTGTAGGCTGGGCCTCGACTGAGCCAAGCAGGAAAGGAATCCTGTCTTCCTTCCCTGTGCCCCCGAAACAATCAATTGGTGTACCTGCCCCGGCTTGGAAATCTCCCTGGCGATGTGAACTGTGGTTCCTCCCGCATCCCAGCTGGTGGCAGGAGGAGAGATGCGATGCACTTTAAAGGAGGCTTTCTGCCCCTCCTCCGAGGGTCCTGCTCTTTTCTCCTCTTTCTTCCCACCTAAGAGGGTTGAGGTCTTGGTGGCACCGGAGAGCCTCTCAGCCCTGTGTGTGTCCAGCTGCTGGGGGAAAGTCCTGAGCCCAAATGCCCTTTGGCAGCACGAGGAGCCCCTGCCTCCTTGCTCAGCTGTGCCCGGACCGGGCAGGCAGACGAGGATCGGCAGCAGGCACAGCTTTAAAGTGGGTCAGAGCCTACTCCCCACAGCAGCCAGCTCGGCTTTCCTCCTCTTTCGTTCCAGAACTTATTTACTTTCTAAGCACTTCAGATGTTTGCTACCTCGATTTTTAATTTAAGCTGCTGGCACTTGGCTGCCAGCCCTGTTGGTGTCCACGTTGGATGTATCCATCCCCGCGTCCGCTGAGAGCCGCCCGGGCGCGGGGCCACATTCCCAGCTTCGGGGAGATAACAGCGACATGGCTGTTGCTGTCTTCCTGTCACCACCTCTTCCCTTCACGTCCCTCCACCCGCGGTTCCCATCGACAGGAGTGAGCACACAGGGTGAAATAAATGTGCTGGCTGCCACCAGGCAGGAAGGTGGAAGGGCAGGGCTCATCTACACTGTGATGCTAGCCGCTCCTTTCGACATCTTTTGTTCTGCTTGCTTGAAAGAGTCTTGTCTTAAAACAATCCCTCACTGAAGTGTTTCTTATTTGCACCACCTGCTCTTGAGTTTCTCCCTGGCTGGAGCTCCCTGGGAAGGGCATCCCTTGGGCTCCACAGGAGAGCAGGAGCTGCTGTCCCCAGGAAGAGGAGAGAAAACCATGGCCGTGCTGTCTGTGCTGCCTTGCCCCATTGCTGTTTGAGGGCACAGGAAGCTGCACCGACCCTGCCTTGGGCATGGGGGAAGGAGGAGGAGGAATGGGGAGGGGGTTGGCGCTGTTTGCCTGCCCCAGTGGGGAGCCCCTCACCTGGCTACCAGCCAAAAATCTGCTGGCAAGGCATGGCCCAAACCCAGGGGAGGGGGCAGAGACTGTGACCAGCTTAGCAAGGATGCTTTTGTCCTTTCTGACAGGCTGTCCATCCTCCCCCAGCGTATTAAACATGCATCCCCAAAACCCAGGCCTTCTCCCACTCTTCTACCCCCTCAGTGTCACCAGAGTGGCAGCGAACCTCTGCAGGTTGCCAACAAGCTGCATCCTTCCCCACTTCTTCCCAGGCTGGTCCCCACAGCAGCCAGTCCCCAGGACCCCAGCAGTCCTGCAGCAGCAGGGCCTTGGGAGCACCTGGAGGGATCTTAAAAATGTGAAGGTCACTGTAAATAGTATCTGTGTCCACTGTGGTGTTGGAGCAAGCAAAAAAAAAAAAAAAAGAAAACCACGAAAGTTTTCCTTTTAATTCTATTTTTTTTTTTTTTTTTACAATTTCTGTGCAACATTGTGCTTTCCTGTGTGGATGTGTAGCCGAATCGTACTCACCAACACTAGGCTCCTTGCTCCTCTAGCGTGTGGGTAGGACCCATGGGTTTGG